CGGCTCCACGTTGCTTGCGTTTCAGAAGCTCTTGCATCACCGTAGTGCTGCATTGAAATGACAACTCTGCTTTACAGTGTCTGCATTCGACTTGTTTCACTGGTTTATTTCCGCTGAAATGTTCCCAGACTTTTTAAAGTTTCAGTCTTGCTCTTTTGCCTCGCCTTCCTCAAACTCTCTCCGCCGCACCATCATTCAAGATGTTCATTAGTACAGAATGCAGTCGTGCCAGACAATGGAAGTGAAACCGGCCTCACGTCCTGTAGTGCACGTTACAAATTAATGACGTGTCGAAAATGAAATTCTAAGTCGACAAATTTTTATAACCGATGTTGTCGATTGCGTCGACTAATCGTTGCAGCCCTAGTCTGCATCAGCCGTTATTATTATTGTTGATTGTGATTATTGTGACGATCCAAAAGCCCACTGAGTGGAGTGGGTTTATTTCAAGTGAGGTGTTAAAACCCTAAACTAAAGCGACCAAACAGCTACTCCTGTGGGAGCCACAAGAGTGTTTGCAGTGAGAACACGATGGGCTGCAGCTCCAAATCACACAGTCCACATCTACCTTTTTTTCTTTGACATCTCTGCAAACATATGGGTTTTTTTAACACAACTACAAATTTCGGCTTCTGCGATTGAAGTAAAATCGACGATCTGATCTTTTCAGGTGCTAATTCAGTTTTTCAGTGTGAGCAATTAAGAAAAAAAATACACATTAAATAAAGTTGATTTTAGTTTTTACAAACAGGTGGGCCTTGGGGTGGAAAAGGTTGAGAACCCCTGCTCTAATGTGTGTGTTATGTCACACCTGCTGAGGCATCTGTCCTGGCATTTGCCCTGGCATCATCTGGCCAGGAGGCATAGCACCCGGGGGCATCTGTCCAGGGGCCATACCTGGGGGTGGCATCATACCAGGAGGAGGCATGTAAGGAGGCTGGCCTGGCATTGGCATCATACGTGGAGCTTGACTCATTGGAGGCATTCCCTTTGAAAAGACCCAAGAACATTATTAAACATTAACTAGTTAATATTATATATTAATCCCACAGGAAGTAAAAACTGAAAAGCTCTGTTGCCAATATGAACTCACAGGCATAGCAGCAGGAACTCCAGGCATGCCAGGAGCAGCAGCAGGCACAGCCTTCTTTGAGGCAGCGGCATCAGGACCTTTAACCTTCTTCTTCTCCTTCTTACGGTCCCGTTCCACATACGTACCCTTCATCTTTGCAATAATGTCTGAGTCTGTCTTGGCATACTGAATGCGCTGTTTAAGAGAAAATAAATAAATATTTTCACATTCGCATCAAGTCAAACCCACGTGATTGGATATATATGATTATCAACAGGGGCGTACCATAGGTTTATCATAAAATGGAAAACCCTGCATAGATCTCAGAGCGTTGGAGGCACTGTTGACCTCTTTGAAGATCACGAAGGCCTGACCCCTCATCTTGAGGGTGCGGGACACGAGGATGTCCAGGATTTGCCCAAACTGGGAGAAAATGGCGTAGAGTGACTTCTTCAGTTCTGCGTTAAGTCAAAAGACAAATAACAAGAAACAACTTTTAGACTCAAAAAATTACTGATAACGAAACAGGGCTTGGGAACGTACGTCACTTCACGCCACACTGGCAGGGGTCAATCTCTGCTTGCATGCTCCAAATACTCACATACACTGAGAAATCTTAACGAAAAAGCTTACGTTTTATTGTTTTTTTTAGGCTTGTCATGCTCCATATTGAATCAAATTAAAAGGAAAGTGTATGTTAACCAACTCCACAACAACTAAGGCTACATTCACATAGCAGGTAAAAGTGGCCCAAATCTGATTCTCACCAAATCCGACTTTCTTGTTTGGCTGTTCACATTATCTTTTAAATGTAATGTGTATGTGGCATCAGTCTGAACAGATCAGCTCCTAAACTGACCCACATGCGCAAAAGAACAGAGCTTCATGTGGCTCATCCAGAGGTAAACAATCATGATGGCCAGTGAACCCCAGTTGCTCCCGGAGCTTCAGTTTCGTCTTCACCAGCATCACAGGAGCGATTATAAAGTTCCAGTGGTTAACAGCTGGATTCATCACCCACAATGTGTTCGAGTTCACCGTAAAAAGGGCTCGTTATTCGGCCACGGCCACTTCTTTGGTTCGTGTCCTCAGATTCTTTAAACTGTTCTCTGATGCCGCAGCCTCGGTCTCCTCCGGCTGCGCTCGGCCGTTTCGTTCAAAACCTCTGTTTTGGTACAGAAACATCAGACTAAATGTTTATAAGTCTGAAATTACGACGAACGTCGAGTTGGATTGACGTAAAAGTCGCATGAATTCCGATCTGGCTGTTCAGACTGAGTCGCATTGCCGCAGATCGGATACGGATCAGATTTCGATACCACATATGAAAGCGTCTCAAATCGGAATTGAAAATGTCAGATTCAGTGTGTTTATCTGTTCACACTGACACACAGACACACATCTGGGTCACATACGGAGAAAAAGATCGGATTTGGGCCACTTTTACCTGCTGTGTAAACGTAGCTTAATTGACAGCCTGGATCCACAACGACTGTAGTAATGATCTGGTGTGGCTTAAATGCCTCTTCCTTTAAGTAGGTTAAACTGTTTTAAGCACCTAAAGCCCATAACTAAGGAAACTGTTCATTTCCCTCAGCCACCGTCAGATTCACTCAGCTAACTCAGACGTCTTTCGCTCAGCCACTGCCGATTTAACTGCATCACTGGTGCATTTCAGTCAACAACTTGCAGATTTAACATTATTAGCTCAGCTATGGCAAATTTACAGTAGGAGAAGATTCTTATGATCTCAAACTGAACTCTGAACTTTTAACTCTGCTCGCCTTGCCTGGCTAGTTATCAAACTAGTCACATTATTGTTGTATTAACCCCCCCATCAATATCCCATCCATTTTAGATCTCCCAAATCAAGTCAATCTAAAGTCTTTAAGAGAAGCAGAATCATAAATTCATCTGGCAGCTCAGCTAACATTAAAAGCCCAGTTGCGGCTTAACTTACTTCACCTCACACATTTTAGCTGGAAACCTGCCCATTTTGAGAAGACATTAAATTTGTTGATCGATACTGGCAGGATCACCGCATGCTTCACCACCAAATCTGCCAAAACTTAGTAAAAAAACTGTTTTTCCAGCTGTTCTAAACCAGCCTTGACTGACGAACCCTGCCGCAATGGCGGATCACCCATAAAGCACTGCGTTACGACGTCACATTCCCGAGCCCTACAGAAACACAAAGTACCAATGCTGATCGAGTAAAAAGTAGATTTGTACATAAATCACCATACCATCTTTTTTGATTTTCTCATTCAAGTTGTTGATGTAAATGGTGTGGTTCAGACGGAGCTCCGGGGCCGCCATATTCCTAAGGAGAGAAAAGAAACAACAGATTCTCAGGCCCTGTCCCATTTGACCCCTCGCCCTACCACTCAGCCCTTAGCCCTCTGTTTTGCACGTTCACGTCTAGGGGTAGGGTGTCCCGATTCTTGTTGACATAGAGGGGTAGGGTGAAGTGTTAGGGCTACATGACCCTCCAAAGGGGGTTTTTCAGAGGCTCCAAACAGAGAGTAATGAGAAAAAAGAAAAACCAGCCAGATGGCTGAACAGGAGACCAAATAAACCCACAAATGTGAGAATTTTCTCTGTTAAAAATTACAATAACCACTGTATTATCTTAGTTTAATGTCGTTTCAGTGTATTTTGGTCGTTTTCTTCATAATAAGCATAAAACAATCGCTAATGGTATGCTAATGTCTCAGTAGCTAGCTAACTTTCCCCCTCCACCTTAAATAGTCCAGCAGTTCTAACGCCTGAAGCGCCAGAATGTAACTGCTGCTCTGTTTAAGGTGGAACGGGAAAATTCGAACAAGAATCTGGAGAATATCTGACTTCAGCTTCATATCACTGAAGAATTAGTGGGGTGATAATAAATAATTGCCCCCTCTTTGAAGGCATATGATGCCCTAAATGTAACTAAAGCCCAGCAGTGAGGAGCTGAACTTTACCCTCCTCTGATATCACTGCAGACTGGCAGGGTTGCCTACAGAGCAGCGCTAGTAGCTGTTAATGAAGTAATGTTTTTTTATTTGAGGGTCCCACTTCAGAGGGAAGATTTCAACCACTGCCCTGTGACTCAGTTCCAGGGGGTTAGGGTGACACTCGAAAACAAGGGGTAGGGTAAAAGGAAGAAATGGGACTGGGCCTCAGTTAACGTTAGCTGCTAATGAATGAAACAGCCATTAGCTGCTCACTTGCTATCAGACTAACTAGGGAACAACGTGGTTAGCCAGCTTAGCTGTGCGAGTGACCTTAACACTACATGGCTTAAAATCAACTTGGCTAAATACGGAACTTTTTAGTTTACAACGACAAAATCTCAGTAACATTAACCGTAGCGAGAGTAGTTAGCCAGCGCCAGAAACCAGCCAGAAGGCGCCTTTCGCTACTAAACTAGCTAGCTAGCTAGCTAGCTAACTCGCTAAGGCCCAATCCCAAATGGCTATATAGTGAACTACCGCGGCGCACACTTCGAATGTAAAACCCACACTGCGGTGTCCTACGAAGTGCACTACAAAGGGCTTTAGGAGCCATTTGAGACGCGACCTAGACGTAGCTAGCCAACACGAACAAACGCGCTCTAACATTCATTTAACAACAGTTTCATACAACCACGCTAACATAAACAGCACCGTGTACTACATTTATGAGCATAAATGTAAAGAATACAAAAAAACAGATACTTACGCTGGCCAAAATACAAATAGCGTTTAAAGTCAGGCGGTTTGCACACCAACCAGCAAGGCGCTGGAAAGAAAAGACCTTTCTAGAAAGTCCCGCCTCTCAAAAAGTAGCCTTTCGATAGGACGTCCGTCTCCAGCCTAACTCGCTGATTGGCCAGTGAAATGGCCGAGTTTGATTTTGATTGGATGTTGAAGGCGCCGTTTGGCGCTTCTTTCATCTGATTGGTCTACTGCCCTGTATTTTTCAGCGCCGTAGTGTTTTACAGCTCAAGGAGTATTTTGAATTATGTTGATTTTTGTCGCGATTTAAAGAAAACTGCGGTGTAACTGTAGAAGTTTCTTAAGAGAAAATGGTGTTTTTAAGAGATAAGACAGAGTTTTGATGTGAGACTGTATGTATGCGGCGGCTACCGGTTCATTTCCTTATTTGGAAGAGGTTTATAGTGGTGGTCTGCAGGCTGTCGTGCTCTCTGTGTGGCCGGTGCTGGAGTTAAATGGACTCTGATGGAGGTCAGTGCAGATGTTTCGCTTTGTTTTTGAGAAGGATTGTTGTATTCGGCCTGTATTCATTGTTATGTAGAGCAGCAGTGCCTTATCCTTTATGTCCACTTCTGACATTTACGTTACGTGGGTTCATGTTCCAAAAACGCCCGGTTATCCCTTATAATTACTCAGGCTGTTTGTTTCTGTGCTGTAAAACAGATACATACACTAATCAGCCTTGTTTCTACGCTCACCGTCCATTTTATCAGCTCCACTTACTATATAGGTGCACTTTGTAGTTCTACAGTTACAGACTGTAGTCCATCTGTTTCTCTGATACTTTGTTAGCCCCCTTTTACCCTGTTCTTCAGTGGTCAGGACCCCCATGGACCCTCACAGAGCAGGTACTATTTGGGTGGTGGATCATTCTCGGCACTGCAGTGACACTGACGTGGTGGTGTTGTGTTAGTGTGTGTTGTTCTGGTACGAGTGGATCAGACACAGCAGTGCATTGAAACGCTGTGTCCACTCACTGTCCACTCTATTAGACACTCCCACCTTGTCAGTCCACCTTGTAGATGTAAAGTGAGAGACGATAGCTCAACTGCTGCTGCACAGTTTATGTTGGTCATCCTCTAATCCTTCATCAGTGGTCACAGGATGCTGCCCATCGGACGCTGTTGGCTGGATATTTTTGGTTGGTGGACTATTCTCAGTCCAGCAGTGACACTGAGGTGTTTAAAACCTCCAGCAGCACTGCTGTGTCTGATCCACTCAGACCAGCACAACACACATTAACACACCACCGCCATGTCAGTGTTACTGAAGTGCTGAGAATGACCCACCACCCAAATAGTACCTGCTCTGTGAGGGTCCATGGGGGTCCTGACCACTGAAGAAGATGCTAACAAGTATGCAGAGAAACAGATGGACTACAGTCTGTAACTGTAGATCTACAAAGTGCACCTATGTAGTAAGTGGAGCTGATAAAATGGACAATGAGTGAAAAAACAAGGAGGTGGTTTAATGTTATGACTGGTCAGCGTATTAAAAAAAAATACTGATCTGATTGGCTGCCCTGTATTGTGCCTCATTCAACAACCCATAACACTCTTTATAACGTCAGTGTAAGTGGGTGGGGCTAAACTGCAGCAGGCTAAATAGGTAAGTATATGGATTTTGTGACATCACAAAAACAATGAATAAACCAGCGATATTTGCAGCTTAGTTTCCATAAATTGGACTGTGGACAATGAATGGTCTGTTATGAAAAATGGGCCCTTTAATATCCACTGTATTACTTTCTTTCTGTCTTGTACTCCAGTGAACTGTAGTTCATGCCTATGAGTGTCTGTTCATTGCTCTGCAGTGTTGTTACTCAGAGTCTGACAGGCTGAACAGGGACCATGTCAGAGGTTCTCCCTCCACCTCCACTTCCACCTCCACCACCTCCTGCCCCTGCTCCGGCTCTGGCTCCCTCAGTGCCCAGCAAGAAGAAGCTGTACCAGGCTATAGCCGAGGGGAAGGCACCTGTGGAGGGCGACTTTGAGGAGGCCCGCTTACTGCTCACCCAGAGAGAGAGCAGGTATTGAAAAACCCTTAAAGGGAAATTCCACAGATTTTTCAAAATTTCTGCGTAATTAGATCTTTATGATGTAAAGTCATTCAGAGTGGTTTCACGTGAAATGCACCATTCTAGAGAAACTTACAGAATTGTTCATAGTGGTGATGATGGGAACTAGACATTTGAAGCCTCTTACTGCCTCTAAAAGCTATCTCACTTGCAATAGCTACCTATGAAATAGTTACGAATACACTGCCTGAGATATTGTTTTACAAGAAGGTTTTGGCCTAAAATGTGATAAAAATGTAGGCAGGTCAAAGAGGCACATTCAGGGTATTATAAGGCAACTGTTTTAACTATTAACAACATTACATATCGCTGTTGTCGGAACAAAACCTTGTATCTCCATTTTTGTCGTTTTTCAGATTTTGGCATAATTTGAAAATGTCTGTTGCTGTTTACATTTTGTGTAAATTTCATGATGAATGGACCAAATGAAACGGCCCAAAATCACTTGGAAAAACGTCTGGTTCCATTGACTTACATTAACAGTAAACTAGATTTTTTCCTTCTCCTGTAAAGTTACACTTCTGGAGATACAAGGTTTTGTTCTGACAGCAGTGATATACAAACTTGGAAGATGCATGTAGGTTCACTGGTCATATTGGACAGTAAATAAAGTGGTTTACATTGTAGACATTGTGACCCCTGGTTCCTATCACCACCACTGTAAAGAAATCTGATAAGCTGGTTGTTTCTCTGCAGTCAGCCGTTTCAAATCAAACCACTTTGAATGACTTTGTTTCCATCTCAGTGATGCAGAAATTTTGAGAAATGTAGAATTCCCCTTTAATCGGCCCAAAGGGAGATAGAGGAGGGGGGAAATAAAGGGTGCTTGTAGTTTCAGTGCAGACTGTTTTGTGGTTTTAAGAAATAATTAGCATTTTTCATGAGTATTATTCTTCATGAAGTTTCAGGAAGGACCTACAGTGGGTGCTGTGCAACAAATATGTGCCTTCGCTGATTCAGGACGGCCCCAAGTGAGTCATATTTCTCCTTTTCGAATCACACTTTCATGTTTTCCAGTTTTCAGACATTTCATTCAGTCAGATATCGTGTTCTTGAGCAGTGACCAGAGCCATGCAGTACTGATGTTTGAGAACTTCATTTTATTTCACAACCTTCTGTGTTAAAGGCAACATATCCTAAATTTTTCTTGCATTTTGTTCTTTTCTTTGAAGCCCACTTATGACATGTAGGTTCATGTACCAAAACTAGTCATTAATTTTTAGATGAACATTTTCCATCCACTCTTCATCCCTTAGAATTAAACAGGCTGTATTTGTGGCTGTGCGTCTGAGACTGATACACCGATCAGGCATAACATTATGACCACCTCCTTGTTTCTACACTCATTGTCCATTTTATCAGCTCCACTTACTATATAGGTGCACTTTGTAGTTCTACAGTTACAGACTGTAGTCCATCTGTTTCTCTGCATACTTTGTTAGCCCCCTTTTACCCTGTTCTTCAGTGGTCAGGACCCCCATGGACCCTCACAGAGCAGGTACTATTTGGGTGGTGGATCATTCTCAGCACTGCAGTGACACTGACGTGGTGGTGGTGTGTTAGTGTGTGTTGTGCTGGTACGAGTGGATCAGACACAGCAGTGCTGCTGGAGTTTTTAAACACCTGGATGGGCAGCGTCCTGTGACCACTGATGAAGGACTAGAGGATGACCAACACAAACTGTGCAGCAGCAGATGAGCTATCGTCTCTGACTTTACATCTACAAGGTGGACCGACAAGGTAGGAGTGTCTAATAGTGTGGACAGTGAGTGGACACAGTGTTTAAAAACTCCAGCAGCACTGCTTTGTCTGATCCACTCATACAAGCACAACACACACTAACACACCACCACCACGTCAGTGTTACTGCAGTGCTGAGAATGATCCACTACCCAAATAATACCTGCTCTGTGAGGGTCCATACGTCAAAGCTTATTGGCTGCCCTGTATTGTGCCTTATTCAGAAAGCAGTCCAGGCTGAAACACTCCCTAGAACTTGCGTGGGAGGAGCTAAAGTGCTATAAGCTGATGTATGACGTCACAAAAATAGTGAAACATTCATCTTCCTAACTGAATTATGTGGTTCTGTGTGATGAAATTTTGTTCAGTTTCTTTTAGTGATTAACATTTTACTGGTCATTTTTGTGGTTTAAGATGCGGCCTAGTGGCCTTATGGATGGCAACCCATCTACTGAAGCCTGTCAAGACCACGTCTGTGGAGAAAGTCCTACAGACAGCATTGGAAAAAGGCTATACTGCCCAGGGAGAGATGTTTTCGGGTACGTATTGGTAACAGGTTGAATTGATGAGTGCTATTTTATTAGTTATTTCTAGCAGTGTGCCAGCACAATAAAATCTGGGGCTTCCCTGGCCACCCTATTCTAAAAGTTGTAGATATCCCCTGGCGTGGATACATTTTTGCACCATGTACCACTGAATGCAAGTGAAAAAAAAGGGACTTTTCATAGTAAATATTGTACTATATTACATCAAAAAATTAGTCATTTTCCTTTCGCAAGGTGTAGTTTTAACTGTAACGTTTTGGTTTGTTTCTTAGCTGGAGATATGGCCCTTCTTGCAGAGGAAGTGTGTGGCTGCAGAGTTCAGACGTTATCCGGTGGCATGATGGGAGACAACGCTGCACTGGTCCTGAAACATCTCACGGAGGGACGGCCGATCTTAATACCGTATCCTGCTGTAACTTACAATCGTGTTCTTTCACAGCGACTCATTAAATGAGAAATTCTACCAGTTTCTTCATAATTCAGAGGCTGACACATAAACAAAGTCAGTCAGAGTGGTTTGATGTGAACTTGTGAAGAAACTGACCAGGGGTTGCGATGTCTACAACACAAATACAGCCATTTTAGCAGAGTCCTTATGGAAAAGTCTGTCCACTCAAAGGCCATCTTGGCAACGCCCCCAGGCAGTTATTTCCAGTCTTACAAGACCAAACTCCCCATCTCTTTAAATGGGCGAAAGACCTATAAAACCATATCTTAGGCCCAATCCCATTTTTTATTTTTACCCCTATCTTTGATTTCAAGTGTCACCAGTGGTTTGACAACCCTCAAATAAAAAAGAACATTACTTCATTAATGGGCTACTAGCAATTTTCTTTTTTTCTCATAACTCTCTGTTTGGAGCCTCTGAAAAACCTCCGTTTCGAGAGCCATGTAGCCCCAACACTTCACCCTACCCCTCTAACTCAACAAGAATCAGGACACCCTACTCCAGAGGCCGGCCCCAGGGCCAAATGTGGCCCACGGACAGATTTTAATTGGCCCCTGGCTTCTGTTTAAAAGTGTGTTATAAGTGACCTGCCAGCCAGTACGCTGCAGTTTCTTCTTTCACAGCAGCAGTAAAATTACAGTGCAATGTGCCGCACTGTGGTAATGAAGTTTGAGCTTTTTGTCTCTGACTTGACCTGCAGCTTCATTTACTGAATACCTCTAATAAGAGCAAATTCAGTAGATCAGTAATTATTAACCGTTTAAAGTTGAACAAAAACGTTGCTGTTTATGCTGTTTATTCTGCTCTTCTTGGTAAACAAAGCGTCTGAATACGGTTGCTGTTTACATGACATGTAAAGAACATTATCTAACAAAACTACGTTTTTGTTTAGGTTTTCTAACAAATTATATTCATTTGTTATATTAATTATTTATTAATTCATTATATTTATACAAGTAAACACTTTGAAATATACTTAACACATCAGACCAATTTTATTGCTCCTTTTAAACAATTTATCTGTCATGAGCGCTTATTGATCCAAACTGCTCTGACCAATCCAGTGATAAAAGAAGCCCCGTGCATGTTTTATGCAGTGATAGGAAACACAGTAGCACAGAGGAAGCTCCAGTTGTACACACTGATGTATTGAAAACCTTTGTGAATAATATGTCGGCCCTCAGATATTTTGACACAGTATGACCTGGCCCTCTTTGGAACACGTTTGGACACCCCTGCCCTACCCCCAGGCATGAATACGCAAAGCGGAGAGGTAAGGGCTTAGTAGCAGAGGCGAGGGGTGAAATGGATTTGGGCCTAAAAACCAACATTTCGAAAACAGGTTTGAAATCAGTGCTCAAATCTAACAAAAACAGCATTCATTTTCTAGTTTTTCGGCTCAAAATAACTCAAAAAACGCAAAATTTCAGCTTGTTCTGGCTACGCCGACTGCGCATGTCTCCACATGAAGAGAGAACTTTTCCTGCTTGTGGTTTAAACAACAAGCTGATTGGCTCATTTTATTGAAGGGCGGGACTTTACTCATAAACAGACACCATAACGAGTGTTACACGCATTCCTATTCAAATTTAAACCACTGACCGGTCTCCTCCTTTATAACTGATTTTAGTTACCACCAGTGAACATACGGCTACGTTCACATTACCAGGCTGAAGTGGCACAAATCAGATTTTTTTCTCTAATATGACTCCGATCTGATGTTTTCAGAGCTGTGTGGACACAAATCTGATCTTTTCAAATCCGTCACTTTCATATGTGGTCCTAGATTGGATACGTATCCGATTCGTGGCCATGTGACCTTAATGTGATGCTCAGATCGGAATTCATGTGCTGTCTTTTCCACTGCGCCATCATTCAGCGTTACCATGGCAGCAGCGCCGAACAGAAGTTAAAGCCTGTAAACGGTGGAAAAGCAGCTCATCTCACCTTTTTCTCCTTCGTCTCGCTCTAATAATGAAGCTGAGAGCTGATCAGAGTTAATTATCTTCTCAGTGAAGCTCGTTCTGCTCGTTAGTTTGAGCTGATGATGATCGTGATTCATCCACGTGACGTTACTGAGTAGGATGTGCTCATGAGGGTCATTTCAGGACGCCGGTTCGTCACATTAATGACAGATTTGAGTCACCTAAACGAGTGTGAACCATCGTGTCAGAAAGATCAGATTTGAGCAGCGAGGCTTGTAATGTAAACGTAGCTAATGTGTGTGTATTCTGAGTTTTTATCCACCTTATTCTTGAGCCCCATGATGCTTTGAGTGACTTCTGGACAGAACTTCTGGCGAAGCGTAAACGGACAATATGTTAAATGCCAATAAACATGTGGGAATAAATAAAAATATAAATAATCTTTATTGTTAGAATGATTAAATGTTTGTAATCGATCTGTCAACAGGCGCCTGAACCTGCATGAGAGAAGTGCTTTAGTCAGACGATTCAACCTAAACCAGATATAGACAGACAGTGTCAGGTAGAAGCAGACAACCCCAAAGCAATGCCATTATATAGCAGTAGTTTAATGTAGATGTTATGTTTTATTAAACCAACACTACTACAGTGCTTATTTTCACCATGGTGAATGCAGGATTTAGCTCAGCACTACACTGGATTTTGATGTCAGCTCCAGTTTAAATAGTCATAAGAGAAGAGAATATAATGTGTAAACAAACCAGCAATTTTTCATCTGGTTGGATTTTGCACATGGATTTCAGTAATAACTGAACTTTTTCAAGAAGTGACTAAGAAGCAACAAGCACTGCGCTTTCTTATAAGGGTTAAGCCTGTAAAATTCCTCTTCTTGCCTTACTTCCAGCTTCAGTCGGCTCTAATGAAAGCTGCAAAACTGCACGTTGTCCCAAAAACACCTTAGAGACATTTGATGGGACGTGAAACTTATAAGCACACTTTCTTTGACTTGGCTAAAACAGTAATGAAGGATACTTCCGTTCCCCAACCAGATATTTCGGCCATAATGTTGAAATACAGCGGCCATGTGAAAATAAGATGGGGGCAGAGCTTTGTGGTGCTGGGGAAGGTTGTATAAAATGGCTGACAGGAGGTCGGTGTAAATTCAGATAGGCCCTTGCTCCGTTTTCCTGATGGGGTCTCTCAGGCCAGTGCTGATGCCAATGCTAAAACAATTATTTTTAATCATGTTCTATATATTTTGAGGTTATTTATACAAGTAATGAAATAAATAAACTGACTGATGCACCTTTAAATCCTCTTTTCCCATTTTTCTGCATGATGCTATTTGTCTCAGTATCTGTGTTGCTGTTTATACCTTGACTGCTTTGGCACAGATATGATGAGGATTTTAACCATGAGCCGTGTCAGCGTCAGGGCCATAAGGCACACTGGGCTGTGGCTTCAGGTAAGATTGGGTCACACACACACACACACACTTTTTCTAATCTGCTTATCCTTCTGGGTCGCAGGGGGAGCTGAAGCCTATCTCAGGGGTCATTGGGTGGAAGGCAGGAAACACCCTGGACAGGTCGCCAGTCCATCACAGGGCAGAGATACAGACATACACATTCACACACACACTCACACCTAGGGGCATTTTAGCATGTCCAATCAGCCTGACTGCATGTTTTTGGACTGTGGGAGGAAACCGGAGCACCTGGAGGAAACTCACACAGACACGGGGAGAACAGGCAAACTCCACACAGAAAGAACGCTGGTCGCCCGGCCGGGGAATCAAACCCAGGAAGATTGGGCTGACAGACACCTAGTCAGAATCCTGTTTAAATAAGACAGTAACAATTTCAATACAGTATCAATATGTCAAACAAGTGAATGTCCCCCTTACTTCCTTCCGGCTGGGCAACATGACAATATTTATCAATATCATGATAAATTACATCACAATATGCTTTTCTGAGCATCGTCTTTACTTCTAGAGCACTGAACATGTGCATGTTTCATAACAGTGAAGGTTTTTATTAGGCCTGTTTGATTGTATTTAGAGCAGTGCAGTTTGTGTTCATAGTTTTTGTTCATAGTCCTTTTTTGTCCATTCTAACTATTTATTTATTCTTTGTCATGATATTGTATTTATGCAATAATCTATTATGGAAATCGCCTACAAAACCAGGCATCTGGATGCATCCAGTCAGAGTAAAGTGGGGAGAAGGGCATGTCTTATGCTGTGTACAAGACATTGATGCTCAAACAACTGGGCTTTTTTTTTTTTGCATATAAATTCAGGGGTTTATTTTGTTAGAGGGCACGTATTCGTAATTGTCCAAGCCGAATCAAATCTAGCATATAGTTAGAGCTCTGTAGAATCTATAGGACATAAAATATGGCTACTGTTATTAGTTGACTACTTCCTTTTTTATATTGCAGTACAAGTAGCTGTAGATGTATTTTTTCAGTCTAGATTTGTTATATAAACAATTAAATTGGACACAAAATGCATTTAAGCCTTTCCTTTTTTAGGTGTACTACTTGGCCTGGTGCAAGGGAGTGTTACCAGCAAACAGTTCCCCGTGGACCCCACTTTACCCTGGCTACATCTTTCTGAAGGCAGCGCTCCTGCTGAGCTGCCACTGGACGCAGCTGAGGAGGTCTATATCTTAGCCAAACAGGGGAAGAGCCTCCGCTACCAGCTATGGAAGTTAGAAACAGTGGCGCAGAGTAATGCCCAGCTGAAAGAGATGGATCCTCAGAGGGCCAGTGATGGAACCTACTATGTGCTGCCCCCTGGTGGAGTGGAGGAGGGACTGGCTGGTCAGGTGGTGCTACTGTTCTCACAGACAAACTGATCATACAAGGGCTGAGCGGCCCAAGAGTGCCTCTGATGACTGGATTTTATATGGTGGGAATGCGGTGGTAAGTGTGCAATAAGCTTCCAACTGTGTTCTCACCATTTAACTCCTTTCAAATAAGTACATTTCAGTTGAATGGCTGCTATTGCCAAGCTAGCCTGTACTATGCCTTTCATCCACTAGGTGTCCTTATGTCTGTACATGATTACCTCGTGCTCTAAGTGCAGATGTTTTCTGGGAAATTTTGAAGGAAATTCTTTCCTGTTTTCTTCAATCTGGGTGCCTGGAGATTATGGTGCTGTAGGAGGCCGAGCTGGATGTTTTTGCTGCCGTGACTCAGAAGGATTATGACGCTGGATTTACCCTTTAAAAAAGGGGGCTGAGCCTTGGATTTTACCTCAGTTATTCAACATCATGGTTTTATACTAGAAAGGCTGTAATTCTGTAACTACTGGAATTGCGATAGGGTTCATTTTGACTGTTTGAACTTTACATGCATATTTATACCACAACAGGAAATAACTATAAACCCCTGTACTAGTACGAGACAGCACAGGCTGTACAAATACCACATATTGTTTCTGTAAGAAAGATTACTTTCTGATGAACACAGCACAAAAAATAACTTAACTTAAAAGCAACGTTTCTGTTGAGTTGGGTGAATTTTTTTATGTTACTGTGGAGTAACAATCTTTCTTTTTACTGCTAAATGGCCAAATGGGCTAATTATCCATCACAAAAACATCTTGAAATGAACATGTTCAAACCTGTGTCGTATTATTTAAATATTTTAGTATACCTGGGTAATTAAAATGAAATTAATTCATAACAGATCATTCTGTGGTAAACGGTGCATTGTGTGGGCTGACCAGTGACTAGACGTTGTTGTTGGAAGTAGTCATAGTAGGGAAAACATTACAGTAGTGGCAGCATATGGTGCATTTGATGCTGCTGCCATTGCAGTACAAAGGTTAAGTTTTTTTGTTTTTTTTCCAGATGAGGCTCAACCATCTCTCTTCTAGTCGCTGATGGAGTGTTTGCGTGTCATTATTGTCCAGTTATACTGCTCTATATATTTGCATCCAACCAAACATTTGATAAAAAAAGAATTTGATGGGTAGCTACCTTAGTATTGTGTGATCTATTCCACTGTATTGCTACTGTTGGTCTATTTTGGATCATACTTTGTAAATCAGTGGTTCCAACCACAATCTGCCAAACCTGCTCCAGCTAATTAACTTCTTTAAAAGTCCTTGTCTTGCTGGATTAGATACATCACTGCTAGGTGCTCTACAGGGGAGAAGGGCAGCATGTTAGCTGCAGGTTGGAGCTAAACTCTGCAGGAAAGCTGAGCTTCAGGATGGTTGGTGGCCACTGATGTTCACCACTTGCCAATTCTTTTCAAATATTTTGTGATGTAAATCAGATGAGGCGAGTAATTAACTGTACTAATTACGCTGCTTACTTAACGCCCGACTTGCTGGAATAGAGCTGCAAAGATCCAGCTTATGGAAACTAAATGCACAGCTTTTGAGTACTTTGTAATACTGATCTTATAACAATAATAGTACAATCGTTATGACAAAATAACAATAATAATATAACCGTTAAAGCGTGGAAAAGGATGGCATGCCCACTCCAGGTAAGGGGAAAGGACCTGCCCCAGTTGGACGTGTTTAAGGCCCAATCTCATTTCTTCTTTTTATCCCTGCCCCTTGTTTTCGTGCGTCACCCTAACCCCTTGGAACTGAGTTAAAAGGGGCAGTGGTTGAAATCTTCCCTATGAAATGGGACAAAAAAACAAAAACATTACTTCATTAACAGCTACTAGCGCTGCTCTGTAGGCGACCCTGCCAGTCTGCAGTGACAGCAGAGGAGGGTAAAGTTCAGCTCCTCACTGCTGGGCTTTAGTTACATTTAGGGCATCATATGCCTTCAAAGAGGGGGGCAATTATTTATTATCACCCACCCCTAATTCTTCAGTGATATGAAGCTGAAGTCTGATATTTACCAGATTCTTGTTCTACTTTTCCTGTTCCACCTTAAATGGTGCAGCAGTTACATTCTGGCGCTTCAGGCGTCAGAACTGCTGGACTATTTAAGGTGGACTGGGAAAGTTCCCTAGCTAGCTACCACGACATCAGCATACTATTAGCGATTTTTTTATGCTTGTTATGAAGAAAAGGACCATAATACACTGAAACAACATTAAACTAAAATAATACGATGATTATCATAATTTTTAACAGAGAAAATTCACACATTTGTGGGTTTCTTTGGTCTCTTGTTCAGCCATCTTGCTGGTTTTTCTTTTTTTCTCATATCACTCTTTTTGGAGTCTCTGAAAAACCGCCGTTTGGAGGGTCATGTAGCCCCAACACTTCACCCTCCCCCTCTATCTCAACAAGAATTGGGACACCCTACCCCTAGACGAGAACGCACAAAACAGAGGGCTAAGGGCTGAGTGGTAGGGGCGAGGGGTGAAATGGGATTGGGCCTAAGTATCTCGGGATCTTGTTCATTAGTGATGGGAGGAGTGATGGTCAGATTGGCCGCAGGCTGGGACAGGCAGCAGCAGTAATGCGCTCAGTGTACTGGACTGTAGTGGTGAAGAGGGAGCTGAGCCAGAAGGCAAAGCTCTCTGTTTACCAGTCCGTCTACATCCTGACCGTCACCTCTGGCCATGAGCTGTGGGTAATGACCAAAAGAATGAGATCACGAATGCAAGCGGGGGAAATGAGCTTTCTTCACAGGGTGGGCTACACTCTACTTGATAGGGTGAGGAGCTCAGAGTAGAGCCGCTAGTCCTCCACATTGAGAGGAGCCAGTTGAGGTGGTTCAGGCATCTGATCCAGATGCCCCCTGGATGCCTCCCGGTGGAGGTTTACCAGGCTTGGCCTACTGGGACCCGCTGGAGGGATTATATCTCCAAGTTGGCCTGGGAGCGGCTTGGGGTCCCCGGGAATGAGCTGGAGGAAGTTGCGGAGGACAGGGTCGTCTGGGATTCTCTGCTCTCCCAAATGCTACAGCAACCCTACCTGGACTAAGCTGTCAATGATGATGATGATGATGAATATAATCGTTTCAGCAAAGTAACCCCCCCCCCATATCTACTGTTCCCTGATTTTCACTAAATATTACAGTAGATATTTGGGTTATTTTGTCTAAACGATTATATTATTATTGTTTTGTCGAAACGATTATATCTCAAAATTGCAGGATGGTATAAATGACCGCTCAGCCTTTCTAGCGTCAACAGTGTGCCAGATTTTTGCCATCAGATGACATAATTTTGACATGTTTATAAAAAATGATAGTGGTCTTTATCAGAACACTCCTCATAAACATATACAGTCCAGAAAAATTAAGAGGTTAAAGACAGCAAACATGTTCTGAATACCTGCTGTGACTGAGTGAAAGGGAAGGTCACCACTTACTGCATGTTTTGTCTCTGACTGTATCAGGAAGTTCTGAGTTTAATGATCATTTTGGTATTTAGAGAATTGCAGAGTTGACATCAATGCAGCTGCCAGGAAACAGTAGGAGGAGCGCAAGACCTGCTAGGAAAACCTCACTTCTACTTCCTCTGAGTCGCAGCTAATTCAGTAAATAAGATTCGACACCTGCTGTCAGTGGAGCGTAACGGTAAATTACACTGATTTTTCAGAATTTGACATAAATTGTTGAGATGTGAACAAAGTCATTCAGTGGTTTGATGTGAAACGGTTTCATTGTAGAGAAAAGTACTGACTCAGATTTCTTTACAGTGGTGGTGATAGGAACCAGGGGTCACCATGACTACAACCCAATTATAGCCACTTTATTTACTATCCAAAACCACCAGGTTGTGATTTTTTATATGTTGAAAATGGTAAAATAGTGGTAAAATCTGGGAAAAACATGTTTTCTGTGAGAATTGTTTTGCCACACAATGTCCTCCATGTATCTCTCTGCCATGAACTGATTTTTGTATATCTTTTAGGCCAAAACCTTCTCAAAACTAACGTAAAGACATGTCTCCTACATCAGGTGCTGCATTCATAAATACTATTTTGTGTAATTGCTTCCTGTGAGGGAGCTTTTAGAGGCATTAAGCTCTTCAGACGTCTGGTTCCCATCACCACCACTGTGAACAATAAATTCAGTGTCTCCATAATGGAGCATTTCACATGAAACCACTCTGAATGACCTGGTTTACATCTTAATGATATATATTATGCAAGAATTTAGGAAAATCAGTGAAACGAGAAAGTTTTGTGGAAATTATTAGTCCTCTCAAAAATATGCCAGATTTCATTACGATGTGTCTGTATGACTATAAAGTGAAACTGATAGAGTGAAACTGGTGTTGATCCTATATTATTCAGCACTTACACACAGTCTGACTGGTAGAAACAGGTTCTACCCAAGTTGCTAAATCTGACAACACACCTGTATCACTTGGCTGACCAGTTGCTAAGTAACAACATTGCCTCACTCTAAGCCAATGTTTCATAATTCATGCCTCGAGGCTAGGGCTGGGTATCGAAATTTAATAGTCTAATGCACACGTGTCAGGCTCCAGTCTAGAACACGGCAGACTTAGCACACACTGCATCACCAAACACACCTGATTCGGCTCGTCAGCTAATTGGCAAGGCCTTCATGAGCTGAATTCAGAGCGTTAGGTGAGGGTAAACACTGATCTCCGCAGCAATTTAGCCCGGAAGGTCCCCAGTTTGACATGCCTGCTCTAGTGCTACAGACTGAATTACTTCAGCACCATGAAAAATTCCATCATATGTAACCAAATTTCAATCCAGTAAGCATTTTTTCCAAATCTAGACAGCTGATTGGCTGTCTCAATAACATTCTATGTGCATCTTATTGGCAGTGCATGTACCTTTTTTACTGACGGTGTATCAGGGAAAAAATTAAAAGGTGAAAAATGAAATGTTAAACTTTTTAATTAAACTTTTGTACTGTGTATTACAAACCATTGTAAAATGTCAAACTCAGCACAGGGTGAACGAATACCACAAATTATATCTTTCTGTAAGAAACATGAACTTTCTCATGAACACAACACAAAAAATAAAACCTAATAGTAGTGTTTCTGTTGAGTGGTGTCAACGGTTTTATGTTACTATTGAGTGAAAATCTTTCTTTTTACCGTAAACGGCTTAATTGTCCATCACTTTAATTTACCTGTATCATATAATTTAATTAGTTTAGTATAACTGGAGATTGTTTAGTATAATCAAAATGGAATTAATTCATAACAGATCACTGCGGTAAACTGTGCATTGTTTGGGCTGACGAGTGGCTAGACGTTACAAGAATATAGCCGTTGGAAGTCGTCATAGTAGGGAAAACATTACAGTAGTGGCTGCATGTGGTGCATTTGATGCTGCTGAAATTGCAGTAAAAAGGTGATGTTTCTGCTTTTTCCAGATGGGGCTCAACTATCTTCCCTTTCCTAGTGGCTGTTTGAGTGTTCTTGTCCAGTTATACTGCTCTATTCATCATATTTGCCTCCAACCAAACCTTTAGAAAGAATTTGATGGGTATATACCTTAGCCTGTAATGTCTGATCTATTCTAATGTACTGCTACTGTAAGTCTGTTTTGGATCGTACTTTGTAAACCAGTGGTTC